GTATTTTTCCCTTTCATCACTTTAAGTATTTTACTCCACTCTCTTCTTGCTTGCATGATTTCTGAGGAGAAATCCAATGTGATTATTATCTTTATTTTTCTATTGGTAAAGAGTTTTTCTCTGGCCGTTTCCAAGATTTTCTCTTGGTCTTCAGTTTTCTGTGTTTGAACATGATATGCTTAAATTTTTTTTTTTTTTGGTATTTATCCTACTTTGTGTTCTTTGCTTGGATCCTGGATCTGTAATGCTGTATCTGTCATTAATTCTGGGAAATTCTCAGTCATTCTTACTTCAAATATTTCTTTTTTTCACCTTCTGCTCCTTTCTTCTTCCAATATTCCAATAATGTGCATGGTACACCTTTTGAATTGTCCTTGGATATTCTGTTACATTTTTAAAGTCTTTTTTTTTAAATCTTTGCATTTCAGTTTGGAAGGTTTCTATTAACATGTCTTCAAGCTATAATCTTTCCTCTTCTGTATCCAGTCTGCTGATGAGCCTATCAAAGGCATTGTTTTTTTTTTTGGCCATGCCACATGGTTTACAGAGTCTTAGTTCCCTGACCAGGGATTGAACCTGGCAATGAAAGCCCAGAATCCTAACCACTAGGCCACAGGGAACTCCCAAAGGCATCGTTTCTGTTACACTGTTTTTGATTTCTTACATCACTTTCTAGAGTTTCTCTGTCTGCTTATATTATCCATTTGTTCTTGCATGTTGTAAACTATTTCTAGCAGACTCATTAGCATATTAGTTATAGCTATTTTTTAAAAACCTGTGTCATATCTGAGCTTTGTTCTGATGTTGGTTTTGTCTCTTGAGACTGTGGTTTATCTTTTGGTAAGCTGTATCACTTCTTTTTTGTTGAAAGGAAAAAAATCATTTCTTTTTTGTTACATTATATGTAACACAGTAGAAACTGAGATAAACAGGCCCTTCATGTGAGGTTTTATGTTAATATGGCTAGAAGTTGGGCTGTGTTTAATGTTTGCTTTAGCTGCAGGTGTCAGAGGTTTTTCAGTTTCCTCTAATACCCTTGTTTTTGTCTCCCTTGTTTTCTTTGAGTTTCCCTAAAAACATTTTAGAGTTTGAGCCTTGCAGGTTCTTCAGTTATAATTCATAGTTATCATACTGAAGACCTGTTGATGTGGTAGTAAGGTGCAGGGTATGGGAAAACATTCTGCATCTTATAATTAAGTCTCAGGCATTTTTTTTTCATTTATTTTTATTAGTTGGAGGTTAATTACTTTACAATATTGTAGTGGTTTTTGCCATACATTGACAAGTCTCAGGCATTTACTGTGCCCATGTATCCAGCCTGTAACCTTCACAAGTATTTCACAGCTTTTATTCTCTTTCTCGTAGATGACAGTAAGACTAGAGGGGCCTGGAGTTCAGTAATTTTCCTTCTCCCATACTAGAGAAGGCTTTGGTAAAGTTGTTTTACTTGCTGGATAGCTCTCTGTTAGGTAGAAGCTCTGGATGTATTTCAAGTTGATTCTTTTTCCTATCAACATGCCAGAAACAGAAGACTTATTCTTGGCTCTTTACAATGAGAACCCAGTGGGGTTCCTGGAGGTAAGAGTCATGAAAATGTGGGGGCCCCCTTAGACTGTGGCCCCCAGAAGTTTATTACTCAAACACTAATCTATACTATTTCCTGCAATTTGTCAAAGTTACCACTTATGTGTTCCTACCAATTTATGGCTCAGTGCTTTCTGCTTCTGATAAGCAGATCTGGGAAGTGATTCTTTGTAATTGCCTGTCTCTCCAGATTTCACGGTTGCAGTTTGCTCTCTGACTTCAAATCTCTGATGAATCCAAGAAAATTCATTGATTTTTTAGTCTGTTCAGCTGTTCTTCCTGTTGTAAGACAGTAGTGATGACTTCTAAGCAGTTTCCATGTTGGCACTGAAACCCAAAGTCTCAAACAAAACATGTTTCATTCAACATTGTTTCATCCATGTTGATACCTGTAGTTCTGTTTCATTCATTTTTTCTTCCATATCATATTCTATTTTATGAATTCGCCATGCTTTATCCATTCTCCTGCTTATGAACATGTATGTTGTTCACAATCAATGCTACTATGAGCATCCTTATAACATCTCCTAATGTGTATGTGTAAAAGTTTCCCTAGGATAGATACTAAGAAGTGGGATTACTGACCTACAGTGTTGAGCATCTTTCATTTTACTGAGTATTGCCACAATGTTCTTTTTTTTCCTTTTATTTTTATTAGTTGGAGGCTAATTACTTTACAATATTGTAGTGGTTTTTGCCATACACTGACGCCACAATGTTCTTGAAAGTGGTTATACTCATTTGTATTCACCCAGCAGTATATTAAAGAATTCTTACTGTTCCATATGTTCACCAGTACTTGGCATTGTCAGGCCTTTAAATTTATGCCAAATGTAAAAAGGTATTAAATGATATTAAATAGTATCTCATTGTAGTTTTACTTTGCATTTCTTTGATTACTAATGAGACTTTATATATATGTTAACTGGTCATTTGTGTTTTTTCCCCTATGAACTGCCTGTTCATATCTTCTGGCCATTTTTATTGGATTGCTTGTCTCTTTCTTATTGATTTATAGAGAAAGATTTCCTTCAAATATCTCAAAAAGCACAAACCATCAAATAAAATACTGATGATTTAATTATGTCAAAACGAAAGCCTTCTGCTTAACAAAAGACATCAGAAACAATGTTAAAAATACAAGCTACTCACCTGGTGCAGCAAGTGTTTGTATCTAGAATTCTAAAATAAAATCTATAGGTAATACTAAAACCTAAATAATCAAAATCTATAAATACTATTAAAAACTAAATAAATAATGGGAAAGAAACAGAACAGGCAATTCACAGACGGTTCCTGAAAGGCTAATGAATGTATGAATACATGCATAACTTCATTGGAAATCAGGAACATTGAAATTAAAACCATGAGATACCTTTCAAATACATTAGACTGGCCAAAATAAAAAGTCAAGTATTTTAAAGTCTTAGCAAAGATGTGAAAGAGATTTCTTAAACTCTGCTCATGGAGATGAAAATATACATATCCTATATTACAGTAATTCCACTCCTAGATATATAATCTAGAACAGTGATTCTTAAAACGTCACTCAGACCAGCATCATCATCAGTATCTCCAGGGAACTTAGAAATGCAAATTCTCAGGTCCTACTCCAGATGTACATGACAAAAAATTCTAGGGGCAGAACCCAGCAATCTGTGTTTTAACAAGCCTTCCAGAGGATTCTGGTACATGCTAACGTTTGAGAATCACTGCAATAGAGCAATGTTTTTTCTGGCCCTTTTGACTGAGATCTATAGGAAGAAATGCATTTTATATTCTGGCCCACACACATATCACACACAAAAGCACAATAAACAAAAGCTTCAAAAAACAATAATTATCCTTACTACTCTATGGAATGCACTTTGATATTTTCTATTTCTTTAAAATACTGCTGCTTGTGACCTACTAATAGTAACCTAAAGTTTGAAAAACTGTCCTAGAGAAACTCCTGTACATGTGCAACAGGAGATGTGTACAATAGTATTTGTTGCAGAACTGTCTATAATGGAAAAAAAGAAAAAAAAATCTTCAGGAGAATGGATAAATGAATTATAGTATCGTTCTACAATGGAATACTACACAGTTCCTTATATCTTTAGAAATAAATTTTAAAAACATGTATATTGAGTCAAAAAGCAAGTTGTAGAAGGATATGTAGAGTATGTTATCATCTATATAGTTTAAAAAGAAATAAAATTACATGTTGTTTATGAATATGCAGATTTATAGTAAAAGTATAAAACATGTGTGGGAATGATAAATGGCAAACACAGGATGGTGGTTACCACTGGAAAAGAGAAAGGGGAATAGGAGCGGTGAGGGATACATGAAAGTTTCCAGGTGTCTCTGTAAGGCCTTATTTTTAAAAAATCAACCAAATATGGAAACTGTTGAGAATTGATAGGGAATTCCCCGGCAATCCAGTGGTTAGGGTTCCGCACTCTCACTGCCAAGGGCCTGGGTTCAATACTGGTCAGAGAACTAAGATCCCACAAGTTGTGTGGCGTGGTCAAGGGGAAAAAAAAAGGCAAGAATTGGTAAAGAAAGTTGGTTAGGTACAAAGGTTCTTGCTATATTATTCTCTGTAACTTTTCATAATTAATAATTTTAATAAAAAATAAAAATTCAGCTACCCTTGAACATCAAGAATATATTAGAAATGTAATCAGTCAAAGGAAACTGCTTAATAATTCTCAACAACACCTTTCTAAACATTTAGGAACACCCAGGACCTAACATTATTTTTCTGGTTTTGTTTTTTAAATTGAACACAAGTATATGCTCCAGGGTCTTGTGTTGCTTTTTTGAGTGACATGATAATGAAATTTTCAATTCTGGATGTAACACATACCATGACATAATGATCTGATCAACAAAACAAGGATTATTTACAACTTTTCTTAGATATTCGCCAATTCCTCAAGGCTTAGAGGCCCTGTGCTTTCATTTTGCTGCTAAGCTACCAGCAATTTAAGTCATATGTCATATGAAAGCCAGGTGGAGCATTCTGAAGAGAAAACTCATGTGGTAACAGCAAACCCTACTCACGACCAGGCACATGGCTACTAGATATGGTGGGCCTATGAATTTTTCTTTAGTTGAGGGTTTCTAGTGGGCATGGACTAGAGTCTGATCAAGATTTCTTTAAAATTCTTGTTTTTTAAACAAAATTCTAAGGATAGCTTATGACGTTAGAAAACCACAATGAACATCCTAGGAAATATGCTACTTATATAGTCAGAGCTACTTATATAGCAGAGAATTAATAGTAAAGGTCAAAGAAAAATGCAATCATTGTGCCAATGTCATGATTCTTTGGTATAATCAAAGCTAATACAAAAGTATTACTTTAAGTAGAGGTAAATAAAAATGAAAACAACCCATTTTTTTTTTCTTGGTTTGGCCTATACCTTGTTTGGCTCCCCTGGATTATATGAAGAAAACATAGGAATTTTTCGGATTTCTTCCTCTGACAAACGATTTCTCTGGATCTCATCTTCTGGGACAAATTCTATTGGCTGCGTCAGCTTCTTAGGCCCAGTCCAACACTGCTCAGGTGAATTATCAATAACTTTTGCCACATGGAGACTGGGACCTTTACCCTGTGCTGCCTGTTTTCCCTTGTCCTGGAGTAATGACGGGTTCTCAGCTGTGCCACTATCTCCCACTGATGTAGCTGAGACCAGTGAGTGGGAAGCAAAGGGTTCACCTCTCATTAGTTGGAACTCTTCAAGACGCTTTTTCATTATCATCTCTTGGTAAAAACTTTCCAGCTTGTTCATGGGATCACCTTTGTTCTTCTTTTGGGGTTCATCTGGATCAAGACAAAGAGATACGGAAGTTCTACAAAGCCTACCAAAACAACCTTTGACAAATTAATAAAAATTAAATCTTGAATCTCAGATAATGAAACTCTGCTGGGGCAGGTATTTACAACCTGTGAAAAATGACAATAATATATAGCTATGTTATTACAGTGCATCTTGGGCAAGCCCAGGACTATGGTGAGGCAAGTGAGGCATCTGGGGTCCAAAATTTGAGGTGCTCACTCTCAGGGTCATGCAAGTACATGCATTTAACTGATAAAGGCATTTGAAAAAATGTAATGCATTTCAAATGTAATGCCTACTATGGCATTATCACACTTCACAAAATTAATAATCATTCCTTACCATTATCTACTACTAAATTCATATTCAAATGGCCCTGATTTTCTCAAAGATGTCTTTTTACACTTGGTTCAAGATCTAAAGCAGCCATTAGCTGTTATGTCTTTAAAGCCTCATTAAAAAAACACAAACACACACACACAGCTTCCCTTCTTTCTCAGCCCTCAAATCTTTTTCTCCACCAATCCCACTTATTCATTAGAGAAGCCACATCATTTGAATCAGAACAAATGAATTTAATTAGTTGTTCCTCATGATATTATTTAACTTGTTCCTGAATCCCCTCTATTTCTTACAAACTGGTAGTCAAATCTAGAGCTATGCTACCATGTGGCTACTAGCCACATGAGTCTATTTAAATTAATTTTTTAAATGTTAGTTCCTCTGTTAAACTATGAATATCAAATGTTCAACAAGCACATGTGGCTACTAGATGTCATTCTGGGCAGAATAAAGACCATTTACATTATTGTAAAAAGTTGTATTGGATATTGCTGATCTAGATTTGAGTTCAATATTTTTAGGCAAGAATCCTCCATATATTATATAGATGTATATTTCCTATTACATCATATCATTAGGCACATAATGTTCAGTGGCCCCATTTCTAGTGATGTTAAAACTGATCAGTAGATTCAGGTGTTTTTGGTCTGATCCTTCCATTATGAAGTTTTCCCATTTGCTTTTTAACTAAAGGGTTTGCATCCATTGATGACCATTGCTTATATCCATTAATTTATTAAGAGTTGTAAAGTGGGGCTCCCCTAATTCTATTATTTATTTTGTACTTATTATTTCTATTATTTCTTTTGTATTAATTATTTGGAATCCTATAATGGACTTACCGTCATCAACTATTTGGTTTCCCTACATAAGTTCATACAGGAAAAGTAGGACAAATGCTTGATTTGTTTCCCATTATTTTTCAACTATAAGAGTTTAATGAGTTGGTACTTTAAAAGTGTCCAATGATGACCAATGATTATTTTTAGTATAATTGGAAGACATGTATTTTCATATATTTGATGTGCTTCAATTAAATGTAGTAGTTCTTTTTAGTGATCAAGTTATTCCACTTAGGATCAGTGCATGCGTGCAAAGTTGCTTCAGTTGTGTCCAACTCTTTACAACCCTCTGGAATGTAGCCTGCCAGGCTCCTCTGTCCACGGGGATTCTACAGGCGAGACTACTGGAGTGGGTTGCCATGCCCTCCTCCAGGGAATCTTCTCCACCCAGGGATTGAACACATGTCTCCTGAGGCTCCTGCATTGCAGGCAGATTGTTTACCACGGAGCTACTGGGGAAGCCCTAGGATCAGTGAAAGTCCCTTAAAATTGACTCCTGTACTGCTTTCTAGTTTTCTGGCATAGCAAGATATCTTAAGTTCATCTTGCATATTTCCTGACTCAAACCTGAAATATTTCTCTAAGGACCACTGGCTCCTGTTAATGTGAAATACTATTTAGAAACAACAATATGTTGCTAAATCTGTTCATAAATGTTGAGCTGTTGTTGCTTCTAGGCCTTTTTCAGTGAACAAAGGTAGGAAATTTTTTATGAAAAATAAATTATAAATTTGTACTGGTATTTCCACTTCAAATTAAGATTATAAGATTCTTACTTAAGTCCATGATTTTTTTTTTAAGTCCATGATTTTTGACTCTTATCTCTCTCACATGTGCTTAGGATACTGGCTCGTAATGATATTAACAAAATTATCTATTAGCTTTTTCCTACAATATATAGAATTTTAAAATGTCAATAACAATACTAACATGATTATCAACAATAAAACTACTGAATACAGTTTTAAAATTCTTTGCAGTTACTTTTGTCCTTTAAATTATATTCCATTAGGAATATGCAAATATTATTTTAAATCATTTTACATAACTATTTTCTCTGTATGGTTATGATACCAACTTTATTCATAGTTAGGCTAATTTGCTTCAGGCTGTTTATAAATTTCAGGGATTTATTTTTTCCCTTTTGATTAATTTTTAAAATTATGCAAAACATTTACATGGGTCTAAAATGAAAACGAGGGCTTCCCTTATAGCTCAGTTGGTAAAGAATCTGCCTGCAATGCAGGAGACCCAGTTTGATTCCTGGGTCGGGAAGAACTGCTGGAGAAGGGATAGGTTACCCACTCCAGTATTCTCGGGCTTGCCTTCTGGCTTAGGTGGTAAAGAATTCACCTGCAATGCGGGAGACCTGGGTTTGGTTCCTGGGTTGTGAAGATCCCCTGGAGAAGGGAAAGACTACCCACTCCAGTATTCTGGCCTGAAGAATTCCATGGACTGTATAGTCCATGGGGTCACAAAGAGACATGACTGAGCAACTTTCACTTCACTAAAGTGAAAACTGTATTATACAGTACCTTCAAAGAAGTCTTGCTTTCCATCTCTGTAAACCTCATCCCACTCCTTTCCTTCTCCATAAATAATAATTTTACTAGTTTTGGCTTTATGGTTCCATTGCTTCTTTTTTGAAATATAAGTAAATAGGCACAAACACATAACACATGCACACACACGTGTGTGTGTGTTTATGTTTTTGTTTAGTTGGTCAGTCATGTCCAACTCTTTTGTGACCCCATGAACTGTAGCCCATCAGGCTCCTCTGTCCATGGGATTTCCCAAGTAAGAATATATATATATATATTCTTATATATATAATATATAATATATATAATATATATAATATATATATATATAATTCAGTATATCCCCTTCTCCTATATAAAAGGTAACTTACTATAAACACTGTTCTACAACTTACTTAACACTTAAGTTTTTGCACTTAACAATATATCCTGGCAATAATTCCATGTTAATGTATAGAGCTCTTCCCTTTCCTTCTTATAGTTGCACAGTACTTCACTGTGTGGATGTGCAAGAGTTTATTCAACTACTCCCCTACTTGATGCACCCTGGTGTTGTTTCCAGTCTTTACTGCTACTGTGAATAATTCCCTGACAAACAGCCTGTGCATACAGGATTTTGTATTTTCTCAGTATATCTTTAAAATAGGTTCTAAGAACTGGCACTGCTGAGATATAGGGCAAATGTATAACAAATTTTTCTCTATGTTTTTCTAAATTTCATTCTGTAAGAATTGTATTATTCTGCATTTCCACCAGCAAGGTATAAGAATATTTATGGAAGGATTTCTTAAGATCTAAAAAGCAGTAACTATTAAGGAATACATTGACAAATTCAGATACATTAAAATTAAAAGCTTCTGTTCATTAAAAAGATCCCAAAGAAAAAACTCACAGAATGGGGAAAGATATTTGTTGTACAAATAACTGATAAAGAAGAGAATCACTAGGAAAATGGGCAAAAGACAGAAAAAGGTGCCTTGCAAAAGAGGAAATACATTGGCTAACAAATACAAGGAAAGTGCTCAATATCATAATTCATGGAAATACTAATTAAGAAGGGAATACCATATTGGCAAAAAAAAAAATACCAATACCATATGTCAGTGAGGTTGTGGAGCAAATACATTGCTGGTAGGAATGTGCAAATCACTATAACATTATCTACTGACACTGAATATGCTCATAATATGACCCATCAATTCCACTCCTACATATATACCCTAGAAGAATATAAGCATAGTGCACCAGGGTACAATAAGAATATTTAGATCAGTACTATTTATAATAGCCTGAAACTAGCAAAAATATAAATGTCCATCTAAGAAGAATCAATTATAAAACTGTAGCAAGTTTATATAATAAAATCCTATATTACAACAAAAGCCAGCAAATTTTGGCTACATATGATCAAGTAGATGAATACACTAATGTATATACTCAAAAGTATTTATTCAGTGGCCATTCTGATCCAGGTACTATTCCAGGTTCTTGGGAAACTTTGATAAATAATACAAAGATCGCTATCTTCAAAGAACTAAGTGAATTATATGGTATGCTAGAAGGTTATGAGTGCTGTGAAAAAGAAAAAATACAGCAGGATAAGGGATAATTGGAAGGATTGGGGGGTGGTGGTAGGGTTGGTGGCAATTTTAATGTTGGTCTGAGTAGGTCTCATTGAGAAGGTAACATTTGAGAGAAGACTTATAGAAGGTGAGGTAATCTATCATCCTGATATTGGAGTGAGGGCTCCATGGTAGGAGTATGTTTCAAAAAGTTTTTAAAGTCTGAACATATACAAAGTATTTCTCTGAACACAATGGAAACACATTAGGGATCTACAACTAGAAGAAATCTGGGAAAATATAAATATCTGGATATTAAACAAACACATTTCTAAATAACCCATAGGTCAAAGAACTTCCAAATGAAATTTAAAAATATTCTGAACTAAATAAAAATGAAAACACAACATAACATTTCTGGATAGAGATAAAACAATGCACAGAGCTTTAAACACCTATATCAGAAAGGAGGAATGGTTTCAAAGCTATAACTTGAGCTTCCAATTTAGGAAACTAGAAAAAGAGCACACTAAACACAAAGCAAGGAGAAGTAAGAAAATAATAAAGATTACAGAATCAGTGCAACAGAAAACAGGGGAAATATGGAGAAAAATCAATGAAATCAAAAGCTAGTTCTTTGAAAAGATTAACAAAATGGCAAATTCTTAGCTAGACAAACCAAGAAAATAAGAAGGAA